ATAAATTACAAATAGAAATGGTTTAAAAAGAAAAAAGGAATGATTTCAGCTGACAAAAAAGCGACATAGCTTGGACTAGCACCCATAACCTAGGGTTTAAAGGAACTGGATTTCACATAGGTGACAGTGGTTCAAATCCTGGCCCCAGCAACTTGACGAAAGTGCCAGGTGTGTTTGTGTGCATACCCAAGTCCCTACTGAATGGAAGATAGGAGAAGGGTTGCAGCATGACCACACCCCATTGGACTGCTTTCTCCCTTTATGTCTGTCCCTCTGTCTCTTCCCGGCAAGCAAATATGCCCTCTGGGAAATTTTTTAAAAAGCACTAATATAACTCCACTATTAGTACCTGTAGGAGAATGTGGCAGAATGAGTAAAAATGCTTATTTCAAAACTGACTTTGGGAACCAGCAGTTAGCGTAATGGCTATGTCGCTGGACTCCCACGTAGTCGACCGCGGTTCGCGTCTCGGACCCGGTGGCTTAAATCTCACTCAGGGCGCGTGTGCGTGCGTGCCCAAGATCCCGAGAGGAGAATGGAGGAGAAGGGATTGCAGCGTGACCATCCCCCCTGGGGGGTGATTTCTCACTTTCTGTCTCTATGTCTCTGTCTGTCTGGCGAGCACACGCGCCCTATAGCGAAAACCTCTCCAAAAACAAAAACAAAAACAAAAAAAAACTGACTTTCACTATGGAATTTTTGCTCATAGACTTTCTAGTACATTTCGTGGGATTTTTACATTTTTGACACCAATCTCATTAAATATCTTGGGAAAAATGAAACGAAACAAAACCAAAAATAATCACCAACACAGAAAGTATCAATTCAATGATAGAAGTCCCACGGCATAGTTTCCACACCCTACAACCCATCCTGCACACCGCTGTGGTCTCAGCTGGGGACAGATGACGGGAAGGTAAAACACACGTCCCGGAGCCGGTGTTCGGTGCAGGACTCCCTCACCCCCGATGCCGCAGCGCTGCCGTACGGCACCCCTTTCCGAGCCTCTCCCACAGACGTGACCAGAGCTGATATCCCCAAAATGCACAGTGCTGCTTTACATGCGTATATAACTTAAGCTATGCTAAGAAAATTACACAGAATGAGGGGCCAGCAGGTGGCGTGGGGGTTAAGGCACTGGGTTCACATAGTCCTAGACCTGGTGGCTTGAAAATCATGCCCGACACATGCACGTGTGTGCCCCAAATCCCAGGAGGCAGAAGGAAAAGAAGGGCCTGCAGCATGCCCTTCCCCCTCCGGGGGCCGGTTTCTTACTTTCCCTCCCACTGTCTCTCCTCGGTGGGCAAATACACCCTATATCATAAACCTTAAAAAAAAATAAAAATTCCACAAAATGTGTAGAAAAAGTGTATATACAATGTCTACCTTTTAAACATAAAATGCTTAACCCAATAATTAAGATAAAATAAAATTCTATATATCTATACAGAGATGAAGATTCATTGAAGACATTACAGTCATTGGGTTAATTCTTCAATATTTATATAATTTTCTATCCTTTCAAAATTTCTCTTTTGTTTCTTTTTTTTCAATGATGCGAAGCTGAGTTTGTGATCCACCTCTATTAATAAAATACAGAAATGAAGCCTTTAAATTTTTATAAAAATGTAAAATTTAAATTTGAATAATAAGTGGAAATGATAGAGGTTACTGATTTCTTTAACATATCAGAATTAGGGACAGCAGGTGGCATGGCGGTTAAGGCGCTGGACAATCCCACATGGCTGACTATGGTTCAAGTCCCAGACCTGGTGGCTTGCTTTCTCACTTTCTCTCTCTCTCTGTGTCTCTCTGGTCAAATTAAAGTAAATGAATGAATAAATAAAATTAAAATAAATAATTCTAAAAAAAATCAGAATTAATCACAGAAGCAAAAGAACAAAATACAAGGTGAGACTTCGCTTTTCCTCTGTGTGAAACATGCCCGTGCTCTAGTCGCCGCGGGTCAGAGGATGGTGCACAGAGCAACAGCATACAATACCTCAGAACTCAGAGAAGGAAGTTAATGAGAGCCGGCTGGTTGCACAGCTGTCCTGCAGCACTGGACGTACATGGGAGCACTAGGCTCCCAGCCCGGAGCCTCCTGTACATGCTGAGTGCACGAGCAGGCCTGCAATCCAGAACAGCTGACCCTGGGGGCAGATTGTGGCCTGAACACCTTCTTGGGGCCTCTCTCTCTCTCTGCCTCAGAATAAATAAAAAATAAACTTAAAAATAAAGTTAATGAGTTATATGCAATGCCAGGTAGGGTCAAATTCCCACATCCTTTTCTTTTTTTTTTTTTTTTGAGAGGTTTTTGCTATAGGGCTCATGTGCTCGCCAGAAAGGCAGAGAGAGACAGAGAGACAGAAAGCGAGAAATCACCCCCCAGGGGGGATGGCCACGCTGCAATCCCTTGTCCTCCATTCTCCTCCTGGGTTCTTGGACATGCATGCACACGCGCCTGGCGTGAGTTTTAAGCCACCGGGTCCGGGACGCAAACCGCGGTCGACTACATGAGAGTCCAGCGACATAGCCATTACGCTAACTGCTGGTACCAATAAAGCTATTTTTAAAAGTTGGGCAACATTTTGTCACTGACTTATAGTTTTATAGAAAATATAAATTATTAAACTTCTACTTTAAGATTTTTTTTATATGTGGCTATGTCGCTGGACTCCCACGTAGTTGACCGCGGTTTGAGTCCTGGACCCGGCATCTTAAACTCACGCCAGGCACATGTGCGTGCGTGCCCAAGATCCCGAGAGGAGAATGGAGGAGAAGGGATTGCAGCGTGACCATCCCCCCTGGGGGGTGATTTCTCACTTTCTGTCTCTATGTCTCTGTCTGTCTGGCGAGCACACGCGCCCTATAGCGAAAACCTCTCCAAAAACAAAAACAAAAACAAAAAAAAACTGACTTTCACTATGGAATTTTTGCTCATAGACTTTCTAGTACATTTCGTGGGATTTTTACATTTTTGACACCAATCTCATTAAATATCTTGGGAAAAATGAAACGAAACAAAACCAAAAATAATCACCAACACAGAAAGTATCAATTCAATGATAGAAGTCCCACGGCATAGTTTCCACACCCTACAACCCATCCTGCACACCGCTGTGGTCTCAGCTGGGGACAGATGACGGGAAGGTAAAACACACGTCCCGGAGCCGGTGTTCGGTGCAGGACTCCCTCACCCCCGATGCCGCAGCGCTGCCGTACGGCACCCCTTTCCGAGCCTCTCCCACAGACGTGACCAGAGCTGATATCCCCAAAATGCACAGTGCTGCTTTACATGCGTATATAACTTAAGCTATGCTAAGAAAATTACACAGAATGAGGGGCCAGCAGGTGGCGTGGGGGTTAAGGCACTGGGTTCACATAGTCCTAGACCTGGTGGCTTGAAAATCATGCCCGACACATGCACGTGTGTGCCCCAAATCCCAGGAGGCAGAAGGAAAAGAAGGGCCTGCAGCATGCCCTTCCCCCTCCGGGGGCCGGTTTCTTACTTTCCCTCCCACTGTCTCTCTGCGGTGGGCACATACACCCTATATCATAAACCTTAAAAAAAAATAAAAATCCCACAAAATGTGTAGCTAACGTGTATATACAATGTCTACCTTTTAAACATAAAATGCTTAACCCAATAATTAAGATAAAATAAAATTCTATATATCTATACAGAGATGAAGATTCATTGAAGACATTACAGTCATTGGGTTAATTCTTCAATATTTATATAATTTTTTATCCTTTCAAAATTTCTTTTGTTTCTTTTTTTTCAATGATGCGAAGCTGAGTTTGTGATCCACCTCTATTAATAAAATACAGAAATGAAGCCTTTAAATTTTTATAAAAATGTAAAATTTAAATTTGAATAATAAGTGGAAATGATAGAGGTTACTGATTTCTTTAACATATCAGAATTAGGGACAGCAGGTGGCATGGCGGTTAAGGCGCTGGACAATCCCACATGGCTGACTATGGTTCAAGTCCCAGACCTGGTGGCTTGCTTTCTCACTGTCTCTCTCTCTCTGTGTCTCTCTGGTCAAATTAAAGTAAATGAATGAATAAATAAAATTAAAATAAATAATTCTAAAAAAAATCAGAATTAATCACAGAAGCAAAAGAACAAAATACAAGGTGAGACTTCGCTTTTCCTCTGTGTGAAACATGCCCGTGCTCTAGTCGCCGCGGGTCAGAGGATGGTGCACAGAGCAACAGCATACAATACCTCAGAACTCAGAGAAGGAAGTTAATGAGAGCCGGCTGGTTGCACAGCCGTCCTGCAGCACTGGACGTACATGGGAGCACTAGGCTCCCAGCCCGGAGCCTCCTGTACATGCTGAGTGCACGAGCAGGCCTGCAATCCAGAACAGCTGACCCTGGGGGCAGATTGTGGCCTGAACACCTTCTTGGGGCCTCTCTCTCTCTCTGCCTCAGAATAAATAAAAAATAAACTTAAAAATAAAGTTAATGAGTTATATGCAATGCCAGGTAGGGTCAAATTCCCACATCCTTTTCTTTTTTTTTTTTTTTGGAGGGGTTTTTGCTATAGGGCTCATGTGCTCGCCAGAAAGGCAGAGAGAGACAGAGAGACAGAAAGCGAGAAATCACCCCCCAGGGGGGATGGCCACGCTGCAATCCCTTGTCCTCCATTCTCCTCCTGGGTTCTTGGGCATGCACGCACACGCGCGCGGTGTGTGTTTAAGCCGCCGTGTCAGGGACTCGAACCTCTGTTGACTACGTGGGAGTCCAGTGACACAGCCATTATGCTAACTGCTAGTCCTCAAATTCCCACATCCTTTTTTGAAATTCCTAAATCAAAAGGTGAAAGGTAGCTCGGTTCTATGAGAACCTACCTAATTTCCAAGCCAGTGTAAATGTTAAGGAGTCTTCTAGAGCCATTCTTGTCTAACCAGTAGTCAGCACACATTACAAGACACAAAAATTCAGCCTTAGAGCCTCTGTAAGGACAGACTGAAAAGGCAGGCTACCTTTATGCTTAGTCCAAATCCTCCTACTGTTTGTCTTCGGATGGTCACCGTTCTTTCCTGAAAGACAGCACGTTTAAGAGTGGTTAGTATCCTAAAGCTGTACTGACGAATGTTTTCTTCCTGTGGGTTTTGATTATGCTGTTTTTTTTTTTTTTTTTTTTTTTTATATCACAGAGGCTCGAAATCTTGCAGTGAGTAAGTGGAGTATTTAATCATTTCCAAATCAAAGGTCATTAAGTCATTTGTCAGTACAAAGGAACTATAGAGTCATTAAACTTCTAAACTTAGACATTTTCATTTCGAGTTATTTTTGGAACACATTTTAGAATTTCAACGTTGACACCTCTTCTCATTTTTGTTATGTGTTCTTGTTGGCTATGAAAGGACAACTTGTCGGTTTCATAAAAGTGACTCAGTTGTGATGGTAACTGTTCCTTCGCCACCACGTCACATTGCTTATGACTGGAGAGCGGAGCTGAAGGCTGCCATGCCCCACATAAATGATTCATGTGATGTCTAAGATTGAAACTGAATAAACCAGGTTCAAAATAATTAATTGCTTGTTGGAAACTGGAATGAATTACACGCCTAAGTAATAATGATAATGGAATAATCAATTTTTGAAATCAGTTCCCCTTTTCCTCCCACAATGGAAACAATAATTCAGTCAGTGGCTTATGAAACTTAAAAATAACAAAGATGACAGCATGAACACAAAGAGCCACATTTGGGCAAATCCCATAATTTCCAACTAAAAAATCAATATTGTTCTGTTTAAGGCAATTATCTCTACACAATGCGAGCTCTGGAGGCAGGCTGAAGGGCTGGAAGTGTTTACCTATGACCTATTCCACAGATACCGTATTTCTCAAACCTTCCTCTGCGTAGCCATTGGTGTTCCACAGATAAGGCTTTTCTCAAACCTTCCTCTGCGTAGCCATTGGAGACACCCGCCCTTCTTCCCTGCCTCGGCGACAGGTATTTATCACCTGGTCCCTGAGGCTGCACAAACGTCCCGTTGACTTTGCTACATGATCCATCTCCAAATGTAAGCCTTCTCTCTTATAGATGAGCTCTTTTGCTCACTCTCTTGGTCTACTGGAACTGTACTAGTTTATCATTTAAAAAAATAAGAGAAATCTTTTTAAATGTGTGTTTCCAGTGACTCTTACTAAATATTTTAATGTAGTGTAAAATCTCATCATTTTGGTTAGGTTACAAACTTCTTCTTTTAAAAGCCAAATACTTAAGTTTTTAAAAGTAAAATAATACTTAGAGAACAAGATCATTCTACCAGAAATTGAGGTATGTTGCCTATGACTTCTTAATTTTAGATTTTAAAAAATGTTTTTTGGGTGTATATTAGTATATATTTACTGTAAAATATTAGTGCAAATGAGTGGCATTCAATAATATACATTTTCATTTTGATGATGTTTTAAGTAATTTAATATATTTTTAAAATATTTAACTTTTCTCTTATAACCTGTCATCAAATCATGTTTTCAAACTCAAATGAGAATTGTATTTATACAAATAAGTTTTACATGCATATTGCAATGTATACAAAGAAATTTGATATATAAAACACACTATTCATATTGAGCAATAGCATCAACTCTATTTTCTATTTCTAAACCACACACACTCCCCATCAATGTACTCATCTGTATGGGAAGATGAAGAATTTTAGGTTCATACTCAAAAGCCTGAGCATATAAACAAGCCTGCATATACAAAAGCAAACCAGTAAGGTGAACATGCACCTCCTTTATACACAAAATCTGACTTAAAATCAGTTAAACTTTTATCAGAAATATCTTTTTTATTGACTAGGACAGGAGTAATCTGTTAAATTAATTAATTTTTCATTATTTCTCATGAAATGATTCACTAAAGGGAAATTGACCATTGCAAATAATATTGGAATTGAATCAGACAATCTATCAATGACTCGTTATCTACAGTTTAATATGTGTACTTAAGAGAGTCTATCAGGACCAGCAGTGTCGCTGGGCTCCCGTGTAGTCGACCGTGGTTTGAGTCCTGGACCTGGTGGCTTAAACTCATGCCAGGCGCGTGCGTGTGTGTGCCCAAGATCCCAAGAGAAGAATAGAAGAGAAGAGATTGTGGTGTGGCCATCTCCCTGGAGTATAATTTCTCACTTTCTGTCTCTGTCTCTCTCTGTCTTGCTGGCGAGTACACATGCCCTATAGCAAAAACCTCTCCAAAAAAAAACCAAACCAAAAAGAGAGCCTATCAATGGCTCCTTATCCACATTTGACACGTGTACCTAAGCCCTTTGAGCCTGTTCCCAAATTTTTAACATACTCATAAATAATACAGAGTGACAACTTTGTTTTGAAAATAATTGTGAAGGACCTTGCCATATAATAGAAAACTAATACATGTTAAAAAATACATACATATACTTAAAATCTGTTATTCTAGACAAAGGTTCTTACATAACTAAACTAAATGGTTAATGTTCACCTACCACCTATTCAAATGTCTACACTGCCGAGAGCTTAAATCTGGAGGCCTCAGCCTCACGTGGCTTCTGAGTGGGTGAGTCAAATCATCATCTTTATTCACATAAAGCAGACGAGGTGCTTTTACACAGCTGCCCGTCAAACCAAGGTCAAGTTCTGGGATGGCACGAAACACCCTTGATTCCTTTCCGTGATTCCTTGAGTACCGGATTCCTTAGAGTAGAGTCAGTACCCACGGTGCAATCATTCCAGACAACCCACCATCGGTGGTCTTAAAATAGCTTCGGACAAAGAAAACCTATTTCAATTAGCGAGTGCGCCCCCCAAAATTGGAGGAACGCCCCGCTCTGCAGCCGCTAGCCATGAGAGCCACGGGGTCAGCGTCTGGTTCCGTGGCGCAGGGAGTCCAGAGCACCGCTCCCTCCGACGGGAACGCAGGCACGGCAGGGCCCCTGAGTCTCGGGACCGCCTTTACTCACTCTCCAGGCTGCCTTCCAGTCTTTGCCGGGGAATATTTAGAGCAGGCTCCAAATCAAACAGAAAAATGCTGATACAGAGAGGAGCCGGCGAGACTAGAGTCAGCAGAAACTGACTGCAGAAAACCTCCGCAGCAGCACTGGCTTGGCAGTGTTTGAAACGCCAGGCACATGCACACGCACCTCCATATGCTGCCGGCTCATTAGCTTATTTCAGGGGACTTAGAAGAGACAGGCAACCAAGTTACTCCGCGTTTGCAACGGGAATTTTACAATGGCCACTGCAAGCCGCGGAAACGCACGCCCCGCTCTCGGTCCTTCGGTCAGTGTCCGCTCTGACCGCGCCTTCCACGTCTCACCGCAGCTTCTTCCCTCCCACCCTGACCAAGCTTCTGGAGAAAGAAAGGAATGATTCTAACTGCCCCAGCCCCAAAGCAGGGACCACCTGGAAACTGGTCTAAAATCTGGAGGGTCACGAAGGCTGTTGCCTGATAAAGTACTGTCCTTTGGAAGACCAAGTTATTGTCAGTTATTGTTTTTTTAAACATAAAATTCAGACTGGGGCTACTGTATACTCATATATAAGATGCTTTTCTTTAATCTTCCCATTTCTTACAAAAGGCAAAGGACTAAGCTGAGCACCCTGGACTTTACAGATGTGAGGAAGTAGAAGTACTGCAGAAGTCTGGAGAATTATACTGACTCATAGACGGGAAAAGAGGACTGTCACTAGCTCTTTTTGACAATTCAGGAGGAAAGAATAAACTTGGGAAAAGACTAAAAATAAATATTGCCGTTTTTAATTGTTAAAAATGTGCTCTGTCCATGGGTAGCTTTCATAGCACTTACTATCACTCATTAAAAGAAACTATACTCATAACTCTTTTCCAGAGCAGGGTCCTGAGCCTGGCATCCATGCCTCGCTTATAGTTCTAACCCGAGCATTTGGCATAGGGCACAAATCAGAGTTGGCTATTCATGAGTTAAATGAACAAAGAAAGGTTCAAACACTCCCAATTTATCATCACAGCCTCACCAGTAATATTCTTCTACTTCAGAGATGAGAAAACTGGAATGCAAAGGGGTTAAATTAACTCGATCGCGATCCAATTCCTGATGCAAACTAAGGTTTCTGTTATCCTTGCTCTCCTTTCCATCACAACAGGCCTGAGACCAGATAGGGAATTGTCATGAGGAAAACAAAACCACTGAGAATTTAGGGAACAAAAGAGAACTGGGAGAGCACAGTTTCCCTTTCATATCAGGAACAAGAAAAGAATGTCCCCACTAGCTGCCCCTACTCAGTTTCATCGTTGAAGTCCTAGCTAGTGTAATAAGACATGAATACAAAATGCACATATATTGGCCATAAAGGAAAACAAAACAAAACAACAACAACAAAAAAAGACCTTGTTCTTTGTGTGGAAAAATCCCAAAGAACTGAGAGAAATTTCCTGGAATTAATAAGTAGTTATAGCAAGGTAATAGTACACAAGGCTGACACACAAAGTCAATTGCTTTCCTATGGATAAACAACAAGAAATTGGAATTTGAAATTAAAAGAAAGATACCTTTGTAGTTTCTATAATGCTAACAAAATATAGGATTTACATATGAAAACTAAAAATCCTGGAGAATGAAATGAAAGGTCAAAATAAATGAAAACATAGTCCATATTCATGGACTGTGAAACTCAACATTTTATTTTCAACTATTTCCAACTGAATCTATAGCATCTATTCACTTCCCCAAAAAATCTCAGCAAGCTATGTGAGTGTGAGGTCCCATTCAGTAAAGCTCTTCTGAGCACCACCTGGGATTGCTCCAAGCCTGACAAGGAACGAAGGCCAGACCTCTGCAGGAAGGATTGCTCCAAGCTTGACAAGGAACGAAGGCCAGACCTCTGCAGGACTGGGCTTGGCAGAAGCCTCCCCCTCAGGCATGCTGCTGCAAGGGCACACTGCCCAGGGAGCAGCAGACGATGACAGGGAGGGTGCTGAAAACTCCCCTACACACGGGTCTGGTATACAGTCTCCCACAATAGCTCTCGATTGCCCTGTAAAAGAAACCCTTTCCCTCTGACGAGGAC